ACGCCTTTAATCCTAAAACATCCATATTCTCTATTTTTAGGGACTAGGGCAGCCCATAACACCAAATGACTAATAGCCGCCTCTTATTTACAAAATGTACTATAACTGTCTAGATTTTCTCAGCACAGAACATCATGCATTATTTATTTCAATATTTTTATAGCCTCATGTTTTCCTGTGATTTTCTAGTCAGTATTTATAGGTTTTTACATTTGGTTTTTTAATGCTGTTTGATCAGGGCTCCTGCTCCTCCTCCTCCTGCTACTCTGTGTGTGTGGGGGGGTCTTATCATGAGGCAGTGTGCACAGCTCATGTGCCATGACTGTGGTGCTGAAATGGCCGCACAAACACGCAAAGTTACAGACTTTTATATGCCTCAACAGAAGGTAAAGCACAGATGAAACATGGTTACATTGCACTTATACCAGTAAGCAATGCCAATGAGTCGGCATGAGCAACACCATGGCTCTGGCTCACCTAAACTGAATGCCGCAATTTAGTAATGTTATTAGTTACACCTGCATTTAACAAGTCAAAATGTCCTACTGTGAGAAAGATCTATTAGCTAGGTTTACTTGCATACCCAATAATCCAATCATAATGAGATTAAAGTGGTAATGTGACTGAGGTGGAGCCAATGTAAACAACATATTTTGATTCTCTTATTGCAATTATTCCCTTAGTCAGAATAAGCTTAAGCTATGTGCAATTTTAGTTGCATTATTTAAGGGCACTTCAGTCATGTAAACATCTTAATCCATTTATGACTCTATTGGAGTTTAACAGCATTTTGCAACACATGGCATTCCAACTGCTTGATAGCACGCGCCAAAGATGTCAGCTAGTGAAACACTTGAGTCTGCTCTTTCATCAGACTTCATTCTGATTATTAGCTGTAATCTGATAATACACATGGAAACAAACAAATACAATCTAATTTGCAGTCTTTTCATTTGCACCTCCCAGAATTATATTCCAACATTTCACAGCCTTTTTCTAACAGTTCAGTGCATTTCTGCACAGACCCATTTATGTAACCCCATGCACACGCAAAGAAAGCTTTATTAGTTGCCTCTTCTATCCATTATTTCTTAATTCCACTGCAAATACCCGGAGTATATAATACATTAAAGCAACTCACTCTTGGAAACATTTGGCTTGTATGTTGGATTTTTTACCCCCTCTAACAAACATATCCCTGCAGTCCTTTCTGCCCTGTGTCTTTACCTCTGAGCGCATTTGTCGAGGTTTAACACTTAAAGCAATGTGGAAAAATGAGGCCCGCCATGTTTGTCTCATAGTTCATTGACTGTTGCCCATGGCTGGGAAAGCAGTCTGCCAGCAGTAACTGGGAAATCATTTGGAGGCACCATTACTAATGCAGGGGAAATACAAGCACAATGCCATGCAAACCTCCAAGAGCAAAATTAGAAGGCGGAGTTGTGTGGCTGTAGCGCGCGCGCGCGTGCGTGCGTGCGTCCTTGTCTCTCATTATCCCTAGATTGAGACAAATAGAGGGGGACCTGCCCTTCGATCTAAACCTGCACACCATTTACCCCTGACATCACAGCTGAATGTGTGTGTGCGCGCGCGTGTGCTCGCTCATGTTTCATTTAGCCTCGGAAGAGGTGTGTGTCTAACTGCAGACTGACTTGGCCATATCCTGATTGGTGTTACATTATGTGCTTGTGTGTGCAACCATGCCAACCTCAGAGTGTGTATGGTCAATCATGCTCGGTGTGTGTTGGCTGAAAATACATTGTGTGAAATGTATGCCCATAAGTGTCCATGTGTGAAGTTTGTGTGTCCGTGTGAGAAATTAAGCATTTGACACACTGGTGATTATGTGTGACATGTTTTTGTGCACAGGCACTCACTGAGTGCATTTGTCTTGTGTGTTTCAGTGTTGCCTATATTTAGACAGTGCCTCACACACTCAGTGACTCATTTATACACAAAAAAGTGTTGCCCTCACTTGATGACAAACCAGTCAAATAACAGATAAAAATTTTGAGGAGGAGGTTTCTGAAGTCAATGCAAAGATTTCAATTTCTCAGAAGTCATCTAGTACAAGGACCCAATCACGAGAAAACTGCTCTCCATAGCAGTCGCATCTTTTCTGCACTTTTCTGCACATTTCTCCCTTGGAAAATCAGCACTTAAAACTCCTGGTCATTGTTTCATTTCAAATTTTAGCATGCACCGGAGTGAGCCACAGATGTTTCCAGTTTGTTGACACCAGTGAGTTGACCAGTGAACCAATTTGCAAAAAAAAAAGCAGCCCAGGGTCAGTAGGCCGACTGCCCTGCAAATGTTTTCACTTGGAGGGCCAATTTGGCCTGACCGAACTAGAACAGGTTTGCCCTCTTTCTGATTAAGTGCAGCATTTCTCAGAATGAACTAAAAAAGATCCTGCCAATCTCTCTGCTTGGTTCTCAGTCCTGGGGAGAAACAAACAAAAAACGTTCCCCTGTGCGCTTCACTTCAACATGATTGATCTGAGGTCACAGGAAATGTTTTAAGGACACAAAATATTTGACCTTTGCAACTCAGATTTATCCTTGCTTGTAATTTCACTGATGTATGATGTGAATGTAATCCGCATATAATCTGATTGTGAGTGCCCTGAATTAAAATAGTGGATTGGTTCCTTAAATGTAAACTAACAAGCCAGTCAGTAATGAGATTTTCTCCAGACTGGTGAACTCACTTCATCCATCACCCAGCAGTAGGTCATGTTAGTTTATTTCATTCAGCAAGGTCACTCTCCCTGACAAGAGGACTGGGTGCCAAACCACTGGAGGTTTGATTAATTGTGAATCAACGAGCCATAAAGTCGCATGCTGCAAACTGGATACGATTGGGGGCGAAATGATATATCAAACTTCTCCTTGCTGGACCTTGCTTTGAGGGAGGTCTGGCTTACTAGGTTAAAAATACACTGGCCAACAGCAGGAAAAAAATGGAGTGACAGAAAAAAAAGGGAGAAAGCAAGGGTTAGAAATAAATTCAATAAAGATAAATGGAGATGCATGAAAGTGTGTTGAGAGGTATATGCTTGTAGTGTAGAGATAAACAGCGAGGAGAGTCACAGATTGAGAAATATTTTAAGAGGATGGAGCAGTGAACAAAGAACAAAAATTGACTCCTGGGTGGAAATTGGGATACATGAAAAACTAGTTCATCCATAAAACCACCTAATCTCTGTCGCAGCCCTCTTTTTTAATGATCTTTCATTCCCATCTTTCTGATTTCTCATCTCCCAAGTTTGACTGTGTTGACAAAATGGACCTGCACATATGTGAATGCTGAAAAAGACTTAATTCCAACATCACCGACATTTAAGGTTCTGCCTCAGTAGTGGGACGGGGAGACACACACCCCCAAAGACAGTCTCTATTTAAGGGGAATTTCCAGCAGCTATCGGCGCGGCGGGGAAATCAAGTGCTCGACCACCGTTTGAAGTCATATCAGCTACACTTGTTCCCATCACCGTGGTATCACTCCTATCCACTCCTCCCTTCTATCCCCCACTAACCCGCTCTTCCTCATTTATCTCCCTTACGCCCCCAGAGATCCACGGACTCATGCGCTCCCCTCTCTCTTAATCAGCCTCCTTTGCACCCCCTCTCATCCCGGTCTGACCCAGAGATGCTCGAGGCACAAAGAGCTTTGCTTCCCCTTGTCATACCAGCAGACTTTTATCTCCTCTTTTCGCACCATGTCTCCTTCCTCCCTTCTCCACCCCTAAACCTACATCAGTTTGAGAAGAAGTGCTCCTATCCTGCAAAAGTAGTAATACCACAGTGTAAAAATACTAAGACTAAAAATAAAGTATTACAGTATCACAAAAATGTGGACTACATTTGTCAGTTTTTTGATGCCTAGGGATGCCTTTACTTATTAGCAAACCCTTTATTCTATATTCTTCTCATTATGAACAAATTCCACTGAAAGACCAACCAACCAAGCTTTTGTCTGTTTCTCAGTGACTTCCCTACCTTGTTTTTGGAACTTTATCCCAGGCCGATTTGGTCATACTGAAGATGTAAATCTTTAAAAAACTGCTACAAAATTTAGAGTTTTATATTTTAAAAAGGGTTCAGTCATTTCTTAAAACAACTGGGCACGGTTTTTAGCAGATGTTATTCAAACAGGAGTAAATACCGTATTTGTTGAGGACTACCTTTCAGATGCACATTAACACATTTGGTGTGCTTACAATCTTTGTTTAAATCAGCTAATCTCATTGAGATCAAGATCTCTTTTTCTAAAAGAGACCTGAGTATAGCAGAAAAACAAACACAGCCAGACAGAGCAAAAGGACACGTAGCTTTGAACTTTGACACCAAATAGATTTGAAGATAAATGTTTATATCACATTTTTCAGTGGTGGTGGAGAGCACTGTCTTATACAATGGTCCAAAAACTTTGGGTGTGTAACGGGGTAGATATCTGCTAATTGTAAATGCAGAAGCATTTTATTCACATCATTTTCAAACTCAAACCCTGGTGCACGCAAGATTCAGCATTTGATACCTTTCTCCACTCTTATTCGGGGTTGTTCTTTAATTTGTCCCCACGTATGTACATCAGGATTTGGCTACATGGGCAGTACTTGTTAGTAGAAGGTGGTGGTAGCTGGTTTTGGTCTTTATTAGATTTGTTAATCAAAGCGTTGGGAATATTACCAGCTTCGTAGTTAAACGTACTCTGAAGTATGTTTAACTATGAACATAGTTATAAGCATTTTAATTTTGCAGCTGGTCAAAGGTGGAGCGACTTTAACTGCTTTACGTACTGTTGGATAGTAAATTCATAACCATGTGTTATTATTTGTTGATTTTATGTTTTGTACAGAAAATCTTCATCTGACAAGTAACTGTAACACCAATTGTCATAAATGTATATCCCCACCCATCTCTTGCTACTCATGCCTCTCCCTCCCTCTCTACCTCTCTCATGTGCACACTCTCTCCCTTTCTCTCTCAGTGCGATGCTTGATGCTGCCGGAGATCACAGTTCTCTCTTCTGCTCCTCATCGGGAATCACAGACTCCACCAAATAAGGACAAAGTAAGCCAAAAACATCAAGAAAAAAGCAAGAGGATTAAGATCACGATAAATGGATAAATGAAGAGGAGAAGTGACTGAGTGGAGGCAGGACAAGTAAGGAAAAAAAAAAAAAAACTGGAAAACCTCCCTGAAGGAGAGAGAAGATTTCTAAAAATACAACCCTGCTTACTCCCTGCATCCTCTCTCTCCCCATTCTTTTTTTTGCAGTGTGCCCTCCTTCATTCAGTACCTGTTCTGTGGGATTAACATGACTTAAAATTCAATCAGCCTACAGCCTGATGGAAGAGTGACAGAGGAGGCAGACAGAGAGCTGCAGCTGTCGAGACCAAGCGAGAGGACGGCCAGCGGGAGGAGAGAGAGAGAGAGAGAGAAGGGAGATAGACGGCGAGAGGTAGAGACAGAGAGGAGAGAGAGATGGGTGTTTTTCCACGGAGCTGAGACAGAGAGAGCGCCGCGGAGAAAGAGAGATGTGACAGTTACAGGAGTCGCGGTGGAATGATCCGGAAAACAAGGTTAGTAATTCCACCTTTTTTGTGAGGGCCGATAGATAGATAAGGATGAAAGGACCAGAAGACTTAAAAAAATGGATAAAAAGGACACTAAGTAGCTTTATCATGCTTTTGAAGTAGCAAAGTGAACACCGGAGGAAAAGAGGGGAAAAAAAAAAAAAATGAATCAAGGATTTTGAATTGAATTCAGGAAGAGAAAAAAAAAAGCCGGCAGTGAGGCTGCATATATGAAGCTGCTGCACTAATGTACATACACACACTGTGGGAACAGTCACACAAAGACACGCACAATACACAGAGTGAGTGCACAGCTTTAGAGCAAGATAACGAGGTTGTCTTCTTATAGGTGTCGGCTTTTGGAGTTTGACTGACGGGCCAGCCTGAAAGTATGTGTGTGTTTGTGTGAATGGGGTGGGGGGTGGGGGCGGACCTTCGAACTGTCTGACATTCATGGTGCTGATCAATAGCCCAGTTGTTTCATTAGACTGTGCGCGCGTGTGTGTGTCTGGAAGAGAGAGTGAGAGAGAGATTTAGAGGCTGTGTGTGAAGAGTACAAGAGTATCTCTGCATGACTACTTAGTGGATGTGTGCGAGGTGGTGGCGACAGTGGTGGTGCTGTGTGTGCAAGTATTTGTGAATGTGTGCTGCATGACTGTGTGTACATGCTTGTGTGCTTCCCAGTGTGTTTCTGTGTGTGAGCAAGAACAAACCAATGCAGCTTGCTGAGAGGCGTAAAGAGGGTCTCCGAACTATTGATTCTCTTTGACAGACAGGTGGGGTGGGTGGTGGAGAGAGAGAGAGAGAAAAAAAAAAAAGGAGGAGTGGCAAGGTGGGGAGGGGGATTTAAAGAGGCCTTAAGGGAGGAGTGATTGATCGACAGCAGGAGTCCTGAAAAGAGGGATGGATGTAGATATCTGGGGGGAAGAGGTGAAGGAAAAAAGGAGGATGACACAAAAAAGTGATAATGGACTCAGTCCAATGTTTATGCGACTACACATGCACACAGTAAAGAAGGCATTAATGGAACACATTCACACAGTTCATTCTTTTCACACTGTATGTTTCTCCTCTTTTGCAGGTTTCTAGCCATCCCTCCATCTTCCTCCCAAACCTCCTTTTGTGCACCTCCCTCCAAGGTCATCAATGAGCAACTAACTCAATGTGGGAGATCAAACACGGATCACGCTGTGTATAGTGTAGAGGGGCCCTGTGACACACCCTGGAAACCACTCCAGGAGGTGAGGGATGACAGACAGACGACAAGTAAACAACTGAATGCGTGAAAGACTGAAGCAATAGGAGACAATGCCAGAGAGGCAGATGAAAAAATAAGAAGCGAGGCGACGAGGCTGTATGAGTGAGGGGGGAGGGGGAAAAAGGATCGAGGAAGTGAGAGAAGGAGGGGAAGCAGGAGGGAGGAGAAGTGAAGATCCTCGCCAACTCCAGGATCATTATTCTCTGTCAATTGAACGGCTCCAGATACAGAGAGAGGTTGAACACAGCCATGAGAAAATCATATCAAAACGCCATCAATAGAATTTCAAGCAAAGCGGATTCGTGGATTTTTTTCTCAAACTGAGGAATACTACGCTGGGATTGAGCGAGTAATTCAGGATTTTCCAGGTTTTCTTCATCGATAGAAGCCTAAGAGGATATTGTGGGATTGGAATTTCTGCAACTCTCTGGTTTTCTGACACTGACCTACATCGCCTCCTTTTGATGTGTGTGTGAAGGGGAGTAGGACAGGTTTCAGCACAAACACCCCACCCCCCTGCTGGCCCAACACAAGGAGAAACACCTGGGGCGAGATCTGTGCTAAACAATCACACAAATACACACACACACACACACACACACACTAACCTGGATAACATGTGGAGCTGATTCGGATTATAGAGCCGCACAGACGGAAAAGGTAAAGTCCATGCAGTTTCAAACACACATACGCGAAGACACACACACAGCATATATTGGCTCAGTAAAGGTGGATCCACGTTTGCATGATTAGCTTTCTTGTGCTGAATCATTGAGCACATCAATGCGGTGAGCACCAGCACTCACTGGACTGGGAACTTTGTGTTCTCTGTTCTCTCTCACTCTCACACACACATACACACACACTCAGGTCTATAAATAATGAACAGATGTGCATTCAGAACAACAAAAACATGAGAGGCAAATGTCAAGAGTTCACACACACACACTCCAATCCCCCACATGGAACAGATGATTGTGTGTTTTCTTTTCCTTCTATTCTAATCCTTCTACACCTCTAAGTCCCAATTTCTTGCTCTACATACCCCTACCATACTGAGAATGCTGCTTACTCTCTCATCCTTTGTGTGTGTGCGTCGGCCAGCTGTCCTGTATCCGATTACTCACTAGGTGCGTCTCAGCTTGGCTTTCATCACCTTGCCTTTATGTAATCTCACCTGGCGTGTTGTGTGTGTGTATCATGGTAAGAGCGCGAGGATGCAGGGATGAAGAGTGTTTTGTGGTGGCAGCAGCAGCGAACAGTTCTAACCTCCCTTCGTTTGAGGCTTTTTACATAAGCTCAGTCTGAGCGCGCACACAGATTTGGCACACTGACACAGGAGATCAGACTGACTGAGTGGATATATGGGAGGATAAGAGGGCGATGAGAAAGAAATGGAGACAGGGAGGAGAGGGGAAGTACAAGAGGGAGGTAAAGGGATGCAGGGAGATGGAAAGAGGAGAAGGAGAGGGAGGAGTGACAACAGTGATGGGCACTGAGGGCTACGAGAGGTCAGATGAAAGGATTGCAGTAAGTAGAGGAGAAGTGAGAAGCAGTGACTGACTCCTTCAAGACGATCTGACAAGGAAAAAAGAGACAGATGAATGGAATAAGCGGGAAAAGAAGTAGAACTGATGAGGAAAGAAAGTGAAATGATGATGGGCTCGTGGCAGCATAGAAAGAGAACAAAAGGGGGAGGACCAACAAGGAGCAGAGGATGATATAACAAATGATTGAGGAGTAAGACATTGCATAGAAGACAATAAAAGACCGAAGGATTGATTAAATCATAAGTGAGATAAACAAGATGATTTTAAAAAGTCTCGAACGATGAGTGATAAGTCAATTAAAAAGGTTAGAAAGAGGCACATTCAGGCTAGAATGACACATTAATGGTGATTTACCATAGGGAGATAAAAATAGATAGATGAAGAAATAATTAGAAATGACAGATGGCCATCATTATGTAGCCTTCTACTGTTGTACCATTGGCTACAATTAGTCTTACATGACCCCAAAAAGTCTGTGGAAGATCACCAACACCAGTAATGAGCTATTTAAAGATATAACTACAAGGGCAATGTGTTGTACCATGGGGCTTTTCCATGTAATAGACGTTCCAATTATGAGGCACAACTTGGGGAAAAGTGAAATTCTACCTTAGAGGAAAATAATTACCCTGGAAACAAAAGAGATTCACCACATGTGGAACTATTTTTATGAACATTAGGCTTTTTGAATAACTGAGACAGGGCTCATTCCTTGCTCTGTTGATCGTTTACAGCAGTTTTGACTCTTGCTTTGAACAGGGGCAGCGCTAATTTTGAAAAGATGAGTGAATCGTTTTAAAGAGTAACAAAAGAGGCCTTTTGATATTCATTAACCAAATCATAATTCTATTATTGGCTTTGCGCTACTGCCAGTGATAGTCACAAGAATACAGAGCAGGTAAGTGTCATATGGTTCAAACAGTGAAATAGAGGCAGAAACGTTTTTTTCTGAATTATCTTGTCAATGCTCTCTGTGTGTCTGTCATTCTGAGGATACAGTAAGAAAGATGCGAGAACAGATGGGAAGCTCACGGTTAAAAGTAGGAGCCTTGCCAAAAAGAACAGACTAGAAAGAGGATGAAGCAATAGAGAAATGAAGAGAATGGACCACTTATAGAAATGGAGTAAAACTATCATGGGGGGGGGGGCAATTTATCATCAGAAATTGAACTCTGGAAACAATGGGTCCTTGATTTCAGACAGAAGTCGACAAATGCAGGCTTCTCATTTCTAGTCAGTGAGACTGTGGATTTTGTAGTCTTTCTGTAGTCAGTGAACAGTCACTGGCAGATTTCATCAGCTGTAGCTAGCGAAATGATTAAGTTAATCTTACCTGAAAACGCTGTCTCTAGCTGACTTTTTAATGTTTCCAGCTGATTTATTTCTAAATGAGAATCCAGTAAAAGGATATTAAATGTGCACTTGATGACTACATACTTGATATCTGGCTATCTAAGACTTCACTTTTAATGAGACCAAGAGAAAAGGCATTTAGGATAAGGACAAATCCACTATAGCAGGCCAGAGCAGCTAATGTTACCCTAAACTCTGATATGCTGGGATCCATGCAGTAGATGTGCTAGCTGTGAACACATGCTATAATCCATTCCTTACACTTTTGCGCTTTTGTTTTTGTTTTTTGAGAGGATAAAAAAAGAGAAAAAAAAAAGAATCCACCATCCAAATACTTTAAAGCATTGCTCTTACTAGAGACCCATGCACACAAGCTTGCAGAGAACGCCAAAGCTATGATTGGCCAACTGCTGTTCGGGTGAGGGAGTTAAGTGAATGGTCAAATAATGAAATAAAAAGCCAAAAAGGGAAGGATATGAGAGGGATAGACTGATGACGTGTACAAGAAAATGCTGGCCAACTGAATCCTAAGTGCAAAACTGCAGACATTAAGGATAATTACATGAAAAAGATGAAAACATGCACATGAAAAGACATCAATGATGATGATGAATGATAGATAGGATGTCACACAGCTTTCAGATTTAACCAGCTTTCAATAAAGGCGAGAAGTGGAAGATTTGAAACCCTGAAACAAGTGAGACGCGGTCAATGTCAGGAAGGTGGCACTTGACGGATGAATGGATGGACGAACGAATGACAAATGGTGCAGGGAGAGACATGAAAGGCTGGGCCGTTAAAGAAGAGAGGAAGGATCAAAGGATGAGACATCGAGCCACTGTCAAAAGCTAAGGAACCGGATGGCAGATGACGGACTGAAAGGTATAGAGCGATGGCGTGATGAAGACGAGTAATTACAAGACTAACTGTTTAAGATAGGGAGGAACACTCGGAGGACAGAGAGACTGAGTAATGAAGAATGAAAAGGCGAGTGATGACACTTGAGAGGTGGATGATAAGAGGGAGTAGGGATAAAGGGAACAGAGGAATAACAATGTCTGAAAAGAAAAACTACACTAATAAAGCACTGGCACACTGATGGGGAGGAATGAGTGGATAGAGAGATGGCGGGGCGGATGAATGAGTTGAATAAAAACTGATGAGTAATTAGACTGTTAGTAGTCAAACATAACAGGAAAGAAGGGCGGGGAAGAAGGGATGGTGTGACAAAAGAGAAGGATGATAAGTAAAAGGAAGGAAGAAAGGTAGCAAGTGGGAAAAGAAAGAAAAGGGGACACAATGGAGGAAGTCAGAGAGGAGGAGTGACTAATACTCCCTTTCCACCAGCCAGAGGTGGAAGCAATGAGCAAAAAGTGTAGTACAGAAGTAACGAAAGATAGAGGGATGAGAGGATGAGTAATTAAACTGTTGACAGTCTGTTTAGGCACAGCAGGCGCCTGATGAGCAGAACAAACTGTAACCACGGCAACTAGGAGGGATGGTTTTGAGGGAGGGAGGAGAAATGGGGGAGAGCCAACTGTGAAAGAGAGTGTGTGTGTGTGTGTGTGTGTGTGTGTGTGTGTGTGTGTGTGTGTGTGTGTGGGGGGGGGGGGGGGGGGGAATGAGGGATGCAAGACGGCATGGAGAAGAAAAGACGGATGAGAAAGGCAAAAGAAAGATGGGGGGTCAAGGTATTTGCATGTTTAAGAAATAACTAGAACTGATGCCAATTTATGGACCCATGGGCCCTTGCAGGGAATTTCAGAAGTCAGGGTTAGGAAGTCACCCACATATCGGTAAAAGACTGTGCCACTCTCTTGGAAATTGTGATATGAATCTATGAAACTAAATTTGAATATTAGGTTTAAAAAATATGACTCAGCTATGCAGGCTGAGAATGGCTAGCAAAAGTACTTTTTAAAAATATATCTGGCTAATTTGCTAATCCCACTTTGTGAAAAAACACTCTATACTGGAGATGGAGAGGGAAATGAAGGCATGGGTTTACACACACATACACAAAACTTGTGTGGTGTTCAGTCCCATCAGAAAGGTGCTCGCCAACAGCCATGTGCCCTATCCAAGCAACAATTACAATGTGTTCAGCTTTACAAGTCTAAAAAGTAAGATAATGGCTTAATTTTAACCTTCATGGAGGAGCAGACAGGTGGCATGTATCACACCAGGGCTACTACTGATTACTGATTAGTTGCATTATTATTTGATCATACTAACTGATTCAACATTTAGTCAATAAAACGCCAGAAAATCAAGCAGCAAGTAAGAGAGGTAAAAAAAACCACAGTAAATATTTCCTTATTGTATGAGCAATATGAGAAATAACACACTGTTGCCATTATTCCTGTACGATCGATGGATTTTAGGGCTTTAAGGAGAAGAAGAGCCTAAAGAAACTGGGGTTTGAAAGTGGTTTGGGCTGCTTTCAGACACATATACAAAATCTTCAGTGAGATTCTGGACATTTGCAAGACTGCCAAATATCAGAACCATCAGCTTACAAAGATGTCTTCTGCTACTATGTTGGTAACACCTCTCCGACAACTGTATAGTAGCATCCAAACCAACGCTGCTGTTAAGTCTGCAATCTCACAGGTGTTTGTCTGCATTACGACTGCGCTCAACAGATGCAGTAGGTTGTAGAAGCTCTAGTGAATCATAGTGCAGAATACAACGTGGGTGATGACTGTCAGAAGAAAACCGGCTTGTACTCAGTCTGCAACACATTTAGTCTAAGTC